GTGTAAAGAGGGCTTGGGTGGTGGGGCCTTGGCCCACAAACAAACACGTGTCAGACACTAAGCTGTCCCCTAAATCATCCCTCCTTTCTGACAAGGGAGGCTTTGTTAGTGAGTCAGGCTTGTGGTGCCTGGCTCCCACTTCCCTGGGGTGACTAACTTCAGTCCCTCCTATGGAGATTTCTGCATCTGCTCACTATTCTCTGAATATGTCAGACCCATCTGAACCCTAGCAGAGGTCATTGCTCAGGCTCCTCCTAGAACCCACACCTTTTGTCTGTGTCTCGCACTAGATCAGGATGCCTGAGTGAGAGATGAGGTCTTATTTGCTCCTATATCTCTGAAAGGTGGCATGGGCCTAGCATGGAGGACATGCTCAGTGTATTTTTATAGAAAGACCATCCCATACCCTAGTCCAGTGGTTGCCAAACTTCAACTTGGGCCCCATCCCCAAAGATTGGATTCATTAGATCTGGAGTGAGAGCCCAGGAACCAGTACTTTAATGAGATTCCAGGTAATTCTGAGGCAGATGGCCCTTGAATTTCTCTTTTCTTCTGCCTGAAGTGGGCCTGAACAGGGACACTATTAGTATTTAAGTTCCTTTACAGGAATTAGAAATAGGTACTCCTTCCATTTCTAGTTCTCAAGTCCAAGGCCAGGGTGATACCTTGGTGAGCAGAGTCTAGGCTGTGATTTATGCCCCTTCATCCCCTTTGCCAACATTCTTGCGCTGCACATAACCTGCACAACTGTTTGCAGCCACCTGACCTGAAGCCTGCTCCTCTAAGAAATGGTACAACTGTGCAATCCATCTGCGAATCACCCAACTTCTCAGTAATCACTGAGAGAATCTTGGGGTTGAATTGTGCTAGTCCTGAGGTTGGGTGAACCAGCAGACAGTCTCCAGAGCTTTGGAAGAGGTGGTTACCATAGGGGAGGTGTTGGGGTGGGCAGGTGAGACGGGGGGAGGGGGATAAAGGGGCACAAAAATCTCAATCATTAATATAGTTGGTCATGAGGAGGGGAGGGCAGCACGGAGAATCTAGCCAATGGTTCTGTAACATATCTTTCTATGTTGACAGATAGCAACTGCCCCAGTTTGGGTGAGGATTTAATAATGTGGGTACCTGCTGAACCACCATGTTGTTTACTTGAAACCAATATAGTATTGTATATCAACTATACTTCAGTTAAAAAAAAAAGAAGAAAAAAGATCTAACACAGAGGTTTTTAACCCTTGGTGCGTGTTGGAATCACACTGGAAACTTTGAAAGACTCCGATGCTTGTGTCTCACCCCCAGAACTTAACTGAATGGGGCTGCAACCTGTGCATCAGAATTTTTAAAAGCTCCCTTGGTGACTCTGATGCGTAGAGTGTCTGACCCAGTAAATCCCTCACCCAGATCAGGGAGAAACCTTGGCTGTTGCGTGTCTTCCTAGAGTCTGGAGGCGCAGGGACAGGCTCACCCTCTGACCGAAGAACGCAGCTGCTTCTCCTGCTCTGTGGCTCCAGCTCTGCGCACATTCTTCAGGCTTTTCCCCAGTGAGGGAATGAGCGCCTTTGCTGGTGCTTCTCCGCGTTTCTGCCAATCACCTTTACCCCCTGCAATTTCTGAGCACTCTCCTAGACCTAGCCCTCCTCTCGCTTCCCTCTCCAAATAAAATTCATCCTTTTTTAATGTGTCGGACTCTCCATCAGTCTTCTACAAGGTATAAATGGCAGGCAAAGCTTAATACTCTCTCTGAAGTATTTGCCAACACTATTTGACAATATGCCACAAGGAAATTAGTGTTACCACAGCAAAGTGTTGTTTTCAAATGGTGGAACCCAAACACAGCATGTTGTTGCTTTTGGGGGGGACCCTCAAATTTAGGGGATTGGGAGACAGTGGCTGAGAGCCTTTGGAAAGCCCCCACTGTGTTTGCCACCTGCAGCGATGCCTGGCCTTCCACTAATAAGGCTGGTGATGCTGCTCTTGTGAAGGTGTTAGAAGAAGAAATAAAGAATCCAATTTTTCCACTAGAATACAGGTTTCTGGAAAAAGACACTGTATTCAATTTTTTTTTGAATCCTGCATCATCCTCATCCTTAATTTGCATACTTCTATCATGCAATAAATGTTACTGATTTGCCAAAGTATAAAAAATCAAATGCAACACCAATTTATTGAGTGGCTACTATGTGCTGGGACCTGAACTAGGTATTTCCATTTTATCTCATTTAATCTTAGTAAATCCTCAGTTATTAGGATACAGGCTAAGTTGCTGTAACAAAGAATCTCAAAATAAGGATTAAACAAGGGTTGTTTTTTTTTTCTCAAATGATGGCCCAGCTTATGGTCCACTAAACAAATCTAGGGCTTGGTTGTGGCTCTGCCATCTTTAGCATATGGTTTCATCTTTGGGTCCAGCATGACTGCTGCAGCAATGGGCAGAGGAATAAGACCAAGAAGCATCTGTGTTTCTAGAAATACAAGCCAAAAGTGGGAGAAGACATTCTGCTCACATCTTACAGGCCAGAATTCAGTCACACTGTTATAATGACATGCAAAGCATGCTGGGAAATGTAATCTCTAACTAGGTGGCCAAGTATCTATCTAAAACTGGCTGATGATTAAACAAGGGAGACTGAATATTGGTGGACAAGTGTCACAAAATATTGGTAGGAAGTGTTTTATGGGTCTACTTCTTACTGAAGCTAGAAGTGAACTAGTAATAGGAAGATACTGCTTTCCTGCCCAGAGAGGTCCTCCATTTTGTCAGTGTATTCAGAACTAAGTTGAAAGGCTACTTCAACTTGCAAGCATTTGGCAAGTAGACAAAATAATAGCAAACCTATTCTTCATTTACAGCAGCCAGGACGTTTGTGTTCCCCGTTCCGGCTGAGATTTTCCTGGAAGGGAGATCCTGAGATGGCAACATCACAGTGTATGCTAGCACCTATTGAGCATCTAATCCTGGCCAGGTACTGTGCTGGACCTTTTCCACAATGCAATTTGAACTATATCCCCAGCTCAGCAAAATGATGATCATTCAGACATTTTACAGATAAGAAAACTGAACAGTAGAGAAGTTATGAAGCTAAGATGTGGCAAGGCTGGTGTCTGAATCCAGTTCTATTTTTGCACTTTTTCTACTGCTTATGTGGGAGCTTCTCTAGCAAGCTTCAAGTCGTCTTTGGTGATATTTTCCCCGGCTGCACCTCTCTGTACACATGTCCGCTACAGCATTTATCTAGTAGACACATTTCTTATTGTTGAAGGCTATCTTTCCCAGGCTCCCTCAATCTCCCAGTATTCATGGATCATGTCTTAGTCACTTTACAAAACTGAAGCCAGCCCAGGGCCCAGTTTTTTTACGTGTTTAAACCAATGATTAAATGAGTAAATAAAATGCCCCCTCTCCATCCCATCTACAGCTAAAAACCAGACCTTTTACTGAGCTCTACCCCGTATTACCAATCTTTACCTTCAACACTTAGCCCACTCCCAATTTCACCACATTGATATCTGATTCTAAGTCCTCTGTTCCGAACTCTAGTGCCAGGGACACTCAAAAATATTTCCAATTGATTCCAAAACAACAATCTTTTACATACTGAAAGGTCTTCCAGGAGTGAGCTTTGCTTCAACCTCGGTCCATCCTGTCAATGTATTTCCTTTTGTTTCATCCTCAGAAGCTATGGAAAAAAAGCCTTTTCCTATTTTGAGTGTACTAATAAAAAATGAGCCCTTAATATTCCAGGGAAAGAGAATGATGTCATTTGCAGGCTGAGGTCATGATTTTGTCGAAGAAGATTTGCTAATTATCTCAGTGCTGATGCAAACCCTGCAATGATGCTTATCACGGCCTGGGTGGGACTGGCCTTGTTCTCCGGCCACATCTCTGTGAAGGAAGGAGCTGGAACCAGAAGTGGCCCTTTAAAAAGGCCTGGTTCCTTAACCAGTGACATAAATGAGGGGGATCATTGGGTAGGACTAATGAAATCAACAAGTGTTCTTGGTGCAGGACTCTGCTTGTCAGAATGGGGAGATGAAACAAAGCAGAAGAGGTCTTTCTCTCATTAATAAATGTACCCACTTAATCTTTTGTCTAAGCATGTAACAAATACTGGGGCGGTGCCTCATTAGTAGAAAAAGTGCAAAAATAGAACTGGATTCAGATACCAGCCTTGCCACATCTTAGCTTCATAACTTCTCTGCTGTTCAGTTTTCTTATCTGTAAAATGTCTGAATGATCATCATTTTGCTGAGCTGGGGATATAGTTCAAATTACATTGTGGAAAAGGTCCAGCACAGTACCTGGCCAGGATTAGATGCTCAATAGCTCCCTTTACTTGAATGCTTACTATGTGCAGGGCATATTCTAAGAAGCAATATAGGGCGGTGGCTCTCCAAGTTAAGTGAACTTCAGCATCACTTGGAAGGCTTGTTAAGACGCAAAGTTCTGAATCATAGATTCTGATTTAGGAGGTCTGGATGGGCCCTGAGAATATGCATTTCTAACAAGTTCCCATTGAAGGCTGGGGTCCCCACCTGGAGAACTTCAGCATAGGGCACGGCAGGAGCCAAGACCAGGGGGTTTATACCAGAGATGGACGGTGGAGATTTCAGCCCCCTTGGCAGGTCACTGGGGGAGACACGCAGGAAGCACAGAAGCCCCTCAAGCTGTTGTCTGTGCTTGTCACCACCAGAGTCATCCACAGAGTCAGACGTGGGCGCCCCACCCCGCCCCGGGGCAGCCCTGAAAGGAGCGGGCAGGCGGAGGGCACGCTGGCACCTCCTCCTAGGCTGGGCCCCGCGCGCAGAAGGCGCGCACCGGGAGGACCGGGGGTCCAGCGATAATTCCGGGCCGGGCCTCTGCGGGAGGAGAGGAAGCCGCCCCCTCCGACCGCGGGCCCCCCCGGCGCGGGCGCTGGGCTAGCGGCTTAGGGGGCGGCGGCGGCGGCGCGGGGCGGGGCGCCGTGACCCTGTTCCGGCCCCGCGGAGTCCCCGCGCTCGCTCCGCCCTCGCCCCCTCGTCGCAGCGGCCCCCGCCCGGCTGGCTCGGCCTCGGGGCGCGGGGAGCCGGCGACGCCGTGTTCCCGGCCGGCCCGCGAGCCATGGCCCAGCCCGGCGAGGAGGCCCTGCCCGGGCCCGAGACCGCGGTGCAGATCCGCGTCGCCATCCAGGAGGCCGAGGACGTGCAGCAGCCGGAGGACCAAGAGGAGGGGGCGGAGGCGCAGGGCGCGGGGGACCCGGCCCGGTACCTGAGCCCCGGCTGGGGCAGCGCCAGCGAGGAGGAGCCGAGCCGCGGGCCCAGGTAGGCGCGGCGCGGCCGGCCGCCGGTCGGGACCACAGCTCCGCGGGCAGGGCCGGTGGAGTCCGTGGCGCCGCGGGGCGAGCTGCTCCGGGCCGGCCCGGGGACTCGGAACCGGCTCTTGGCGGTTGTTGGCGCCCCAGTCCTTATCCTTGTACCCGACCGAGGCTCTCGGGGCTGGCGGCGGGGATCCGAGGGGCATGCCCGGGACCCAGGAGGGAGACATCCCCGGGCCATCCTTGCCTTCCCCTGCCCAGGAGGAGACCCTCCTTTCTTGCGCTCCCCCAAAGATCCTCCAAAGAGCCCAGCCCAGCCTAGCCCCGCTCTTCCCCTCCGAAATCGGTACCCACTTAGCCGTCACTGCCATCCCAGCCCTGTCTGCTTCTCAGACCAAATAGGTGGGGGCAGGCCAGGCACCACTGACACTTGGTGCTGGGGATGGGGTAGAAGTTATTTCACGGTGTAGACAGTTCCTTGCCCTGATTCGGGATCAGTTCCCCGCTGGCTGCTGCCACCTCCCTGCCTCGGGGATTTCCATTTTCAGGCAGTCTTTCCCACCTGCCTTAAATGCTTGCATCTTCATCTTGCTGCCTAGACTTTGGGTTCCTGGATGGTGGGAGTCTGGAGCTGCTGTGGCACCAGAAACCACCCGTGTAACCTTGCCTCTGGGCCCTGAGCTCTGTCATCAGCCGGAGACCTTGGTTTGTAGTCTTGGAGGACTGTGGTTTTGTTCCTGCCTTTGAAAGGATATATAGTATCGAGTGTCCCTAGAAATGGGAGGAGGCCAGTGGCAGAACCTGGAACCCTCTTTCTTCTGGGACTCTGTGCACAGCTGTACCCGTCAGGGCTCTGCAGGGTTTTTTTGGGCAGGCGTATACTTACTTCACTAGGAGTGAACATGTTCAACTCAAGGGCATAAGGATACGGGGCCCAGAGCCATTCCCTATCATTGGCTGACCCTTTCCCAGTGGAAAAGGTCTGGATTTAGGGACCCAGAGATTCAAGGCAGTGCAGTGGAGACAGGTAGGCAAGGAGGAAAGTCCAGCCCAACAGATTAGAGCAGGAAAGCTGGGCCACAGCAGATGACACCATAGATATAGTAAAGCCTGATTCATTCATTCATTCAGCTCTGTGCTATCGAGAATATAAAAATAATGAAGCCATAGGCACTGACATTTCACAATCTTGATGCAAAGGCAGCGCACCTAGTCAAATTACCGAGGTCATGTGAAGGAGCCCAGAGTGGCTTATCCTGCTGGTGTGGTTTGCCTGCGACTGTGGCTGTCCTCCATCGTGGGGTCTAAGCTTTGAGACGATTACCATTAGCAGGGATAAAGCACTATTGCTTGGCCTGGAAAGTCCCCTGTGGAGAGCTAGGAGAACATGCTCCCCAATTTGGGTGGGCTTCCCACCTAACCCCCCTCACTCTCCCTCCAGATTCACCCTTCTCTCCCAGCTGCAGTGCGTATCTTCAGTATGAAGCCTTTCCTGCTGCCCATTGCCATAGGGGGTGACCCCAGAAAAATCCCTGGGGCTCTTCAGGGTAGGAGAGCTGACAGAGCCTAGCAGACAGACATGCAGAGCATGAGGAGCACGTAGTTAAGCACAGGATCCACGCTGTCCCCTGTTTGGGCCACCCTGGCACAGCAGCAGCCACCACCCTGTGTGAACACTTTTTGGTCTCCAGAGAGCCTGCACGAGGGAGCGCAGGTTCCTAAATCTGCCCACTGAGATGTGGCACCACCCACATGGGCCCCTCAGCCCATTGCTTGCTTCTCTGCTGTCTTAGCAGTTCACACCCTCACAGCACTGACCCCCCCTCGGCCCCTGAGCCCCGGGTGCAGTTTTGTGTCTGCAGGCCTACTCACTCCCACCTGTCGGTCCCTTTGATTGCCTGATTTCTAGTCAGCCTTAAAACTTGGCTGTCTGGTCTCCACCACCCCAATCCCTACCCCAAAGCTGGGCTTGTTTCCTCTCCTTTTTGTGGCTGTGGTGTTCTGTACCTGGCATTTACTACTATTGTAATTCTATAGGTCTCTCTGCCTCACACAAATAAGCTCCAAGAATTCAGGGACGATGTTTGCCTTGTTCTCAATTAGCAGGTGCTCTTTAAATATTTGCCTAGTGAATGCATGCCTCTATCATCACCCTCCGTTGAGTTGAAATACTTGTGCATTTCTCCTGTACTAGGCAGTGAGATCCTTAAAGGCAATGATGTTCCCCCCATCCTCTCCATATTTCCAGTACCTAGCCCAGGGATACCTGGCTTACACTTGGGGGATAAGGAAAACACAGAAATAAGGATATATCTTTATAACCTCCAAGTGTTCATTAGTCTTCTCCCTACATTGCTCAACTAAAAAGGTATCTTATTCTTACCTTTTTAACCAAAAAATTTCAGACATTAAATGTGATAGACTAGTACTATGAGTATTCATATAACCACCATCTGGATTTAATGATTGTTAATGTTTTGCCGTATTTGTTTGATGGATATGTGATATGTATGGTTTTCCCTGAACTATTTGGAAGTATGTTGTACCTAAGACTATACCCTAAGTACTTCATTTTGTAGTTCTTAGTAAGAACATTCTCCTATAAAACCATAATACTAGTATTGCAACTGAGAAAATGAACAATGATTCCTTAATAATATCATCCTGAAAATAATCTAAGAGCCAAGTTCCATATACAGGATTTCCCCAGTTGTCCTGTGTTATGTTATAGATGTTTGTTTTTCTCCTCCAACCATAATTCCACCCAGGTGGAGGCATTTGCCTGTTATGTTTCTTTAGAATCTTGACTCTAGAACAGTCCCACTTTTTTTTTTATTGCTTTCCCATTAGGGAAATAAGAGGCCAGATGTCCTGTGGAATGTTTCACAGTTTGAATTGGTCTGTTTATGTTCTCATCATCTAGTTTAACTTGGCTTCTTTGTACCGTGTGCTTCTGTCAACTGGAAGTTAGGGCTGAGGACTTGATTAGGTTCAGATTAAACATTTGGGCAAGAACACTTCATGGGTAATGCCATGAAGTCACACTGAAAACAGCTTTTTGCTGGACCACCCAGACAGCTCCCACCATTAGTGATGCTAAATTTGACTACTTGGCTGAGGTGATGGCTCCACTGTGTATTCTTCACCAATGCCCTTCACCGAATGGTTCTAGCATCCATTGATGATCCTTGACTGAGTCAGTTCACTGGGGCATACAGATTGGTGATTTTCTAATTTTATCATTCTTTTCACATTTGTTAGTTTGCATTCTTCTGCAAAAGAGAGCTTGGCCTTGTCAGCTGGCGTTGAGCAAGAGTTCCTCCTAAAGAGGCAAGCATCAATGCTTAATTACCACTTTTCCAAGAGAGGGGTTGATACACTAGTCACATCAGATAATTTAAATTAGGGCCCTCCCTTTGACTCTCTCTGATTCATGGTTTTTTTTGTTTATTTACCTTTTTTGTAATTACTTGCAGTCATTATTTCTGATGTTCAAAATGTTCCTAATCTAGCTAGGTAGCCCCCTCAAGTGGCTTCAGTATATCCTTTCGGAGCACACCGTTTAGCCTCCGAGCACTTTCTCGCTTTCTGATACTAGGCATCCTAGGCCTAACTGGGACTTTTCCTACTCCAGCATGGGAGCCAGCCATTTCCACAGAAATCCCTGGTTTTTAAAATACTAGCAGAAAGGTATTTAGAAAGCAAGGCTTGTAATTAAAATGCTCATTTCTGTTGGGTCATTGCTGCTTTTATGCCCTTTCAATAGTCAGAGTTAGGAAATACATTTTTTAAAAGTAAATTTGCATTGATGATTCCAATTTCACATTACAGTGTTTTTGCTTTATACTCCTTTTATTTTTTACCATGAAAATCTCAATTCCTTAAAACATTGACATCTACTTATTTGCTTTGTCTTAAAATCTGTAAAAATTATTTAAAATCAGGACACTAAATATCATTATTAGTAATGAAACCACTGAAGCACACCTTCATTGGACAAACAGAAACATCTATGTTTCTTTTTCTCCGGGATGGTTCAGGGCCACTGCACAAGCTATCTTTTCCCTGTTCTGGATGGTGATAATGAAACCCTCCATTTATTAATGCCACATACATGCCAGACGTGGAACTAAGTACTTTGCATACATTATCTCTGCTCAACACCATCATCATTTAGGCCTGCAGAGATATCCCCTAATTGTACTCCTTCCCCGGGTCCTAGGAAATATGCCAGAACAGCAGGGCAGAAGACAGGGTTAGAGAAGGTCATGATCTCTGTAATAAATATAAAAGAAAACATGGGCCATCCAGACACCGCATGTGGCCGCTGTTAGCAGCATCCAAAATGTAGTTGGTCCCATGATGCCTTTTCCAAAGTTGGGAGCATCCCTGTACGTTTTCAACCTGTCTCTGTGAGGAAGCTTTACCCCTTGGATCTGTCCTCCTGTTTGTATAATGATTATCAATCTGGTTGCCTTTTTGAAACTTTTCAGTCTAGAGGTGAAACTGTATGGAAAAGAAACTATACACAAATTGTAGTGGATCCCAGTGATTGTCATCAATGATGTTTTCTCCTTCGTGTTCCGTGTCCCCCTTGTTGCTGTCTGCCATTTTCCTGGTCTTGGTGGGCAGAGCACCATGTCAGACCGTTGGCATGGAGAGTGGACGAGCCGAAGAAATCTTTCCTGTGTTGAGAGGCATAGTGAGGTGCTCATCGCTCCATTACTTCAGTTTGGATAATTTTGTTTTATAAGGTATCATTAGATTAACTCAATTAATACATCCAAATGAGTTCGAGATTTTATGAGAAGAGCAGCCTTGGAGATTTTATGCAGCACTTAGTTCTTTGTATCATTTACAAATATGATACATACTTCAACACTGATCTGTGGAGCCCCATCATCTGTTTTGAAATGTATCCCCTTATTTCCACCCTCTTTTTTCTTCTAGCAGGTTTACAGTTATAAAAAAGAACTCATCACCACTCCCTATTTGCAATGTTTTATT